TTTTCTAAGTGATCCCTTTTCTATTTATATAGTCTTTGATATTCCAAGATGTTTCACATATGCAAATCTTTTTCTCAGTTACTTTTATAAAGATGTAATATATACCTGAAGAAGGTTGAGACCTACACTGTTGTAAAAAAAGACAACAAAGATAAAAATACTAGTGTGAAAGAATCATTGAATAATGTTGCTGTTTAATACAAAAGTATCCAAATTATTTGTAAACTTTTAATGTGATCCTTCAATGAATTGTAATTGCTACTTGATTTGCTATCCATGATAATCTTGTAAATAAAAAAAGTTTGATTTTCTCAATACACTTTGCTAATAGAGTCTTCTTGTATTTAAATGTTTCAACTGTAGTAAAGTTTGTTCTTTTTTCTAAGTCTTATTGTTATTTCCTATTTTGGTTCTGAAAACTAGACTAGACAATTGGAAAGTATAAAATATTCACTTTCACAGAATATGAATACAGATAAATAATGGTCTTATCCTGCAAAGTTGTTAATTTGGTAAAAATTTGGAATCATGTCAACTAGAAAATCAAACGGGATACATATATATATATATATATATATATATATATATATATATATATATATATATATATATATATATATATATATGTGACACTATTCAAACCATTTTCAGTTTTAACCAATTTTCTTAACCTATGGTATTTTTTGTATTCGTAAAATCTCAAACTCTTGTGTGTAAATTTCACCATTTTTGTCTTATGACAAATTCTTGCTTATTAGACTGCAGCTCCATCTTAATATTCTTGTTGCATGTAATCTTATTCCAAACATTTGCATCTCATTGTTCATGCCTCTTTGACCAACTTAATCTTGGCTTCTAAATTTTTTGTTTAAAGTTGGTTTCTGAATTGAAATTTTTTCAAAGGATGTGTATCTTCATATAAAAATTCAGCTAATGTATCAAGCTACAAACTTATTGATACCAAATGGTACAAGTTGCTCTCATTCATCACTTGTCTTTTAGTCTTCTTTGGGGAGAGATTTTGCTGTCTTCATCAGTTTCTCTATCATCATCCGTTCAGAGGTGACCATATCTTGGTTGATCCAAAACACTTAAAATAGCCTTGAAATTTCAAGGGGATTTCTGTAATGTTACTTCTCAAAATTCCAAGTTCTTCAGCAATTGTTCACTGACTCATATTCTTGGTTTGCATCATCATAATCTTTATCCTGGTTCCTTTGGCAATTTGAAGCAAGAATGTAGAAATTCAATGTAAGAATTTTCACTATATGTAGGAAAAAAAATTGTTGTTGTCAGAAAATATTTCCATATTTTAGAACATCCAAAAAGAGAAAAACAAAAAGGTCAAGTTGTTGAAAATTTTTGCAACGCCATTTTTGAGGTTGTTTCCCATCTTCCTCTTTTATTCAGAACCATGCAACAAAACATGATAATTATGGAGAGAAATGATTCCAATAGGGCCAATGTTTCATTTGTAGAAAATGCACTGCAAAGCACCCATTTATAATTTAGTATTGACATTTACAATAGTTTAAAGTGGCTGTATAGAATTCTGTTCATTTATTTTTTTGTGTTGTCACAATATAGTTTTTTCTTTTCATTAATCACCAGCGAGAATTTTTGTCTGAATTTTCAAAACGAGCAATTATCTTTATTAAATACTGACTTACTTGGACTAGTATGCTCATCTAGGTTGTCATTATAGTCGCAATGTTTCATTCGTTTTATTCATTGGCTTACTTCAGGTCTCTGTTGTTGTTTGGTGACGTACTGAAAATTTGAACTAAATTTTTTATTCTGTTCATCAGCATAAATCATTCTTATCCCATTGTCCAAGCCAGAGGGTATCTCATGTCAGTTAATTTTTCTTAATTAATTTGTCCTTGTGATTTCACTTGTCTCTTCCAGTGAAGCAGAGTATCTGACATTTTTTTTTTTTTTTTTTTTGCACTACTCATCCTGGAGATTGAACTCATGACCACTAATTGAACTCAGTCAAATGCATGTTCTCGTCTTCTACCACTGTCCTTTTTCTTCTGACTCTATATTCCATGTTGTATTGTTGACTATCTAATAAATAATAATAATCTTCAGTTTTGTTTTCTTTTTCATGTTGCTTGTTCTCATCATCTTGTGTGAGTTATACATTTAATTAACCTTAAGTCATTAAGTTTGTAGTTCAATGAAAAAAAAATTGTTGTACATAATTATTTTCCAACATAATTTCTTCATTTCAGTATAATCTTTTTACTTGTCAATGCACTTAATTCAATGGTGAATATCAAGCACATAGCTCAAACATTATATAGTAAAAAGTTCAAATCACAATTCAGCTAATGTATCAAGCTACAAACTTATTTGTCCAGCCTCATAGATTTACATCTGAATTCTCACCTTTCTTGTAAGCAATTAATATAACTGCTTTAATTTTTTTCCATGCTGTTGGTAGTTAGCACTTATCTAAAAGTGACTTAAAATTGTTCAAGGTGGAGTTGTATAATCCTTGAATAATCATCTCTGTATTAATTCGTTTTCTATGATCTATTCTTTATTCCCCAGTTTTTACCATAACAGTACCCGCTAGTCTTTCTTAATTGGGGTAAGTATTTAACCATTTGTTCCCTGGGTTCTTGTTTCGTGGACATAAATTTTGTTCATTCTGCAATGAACAACATTTTTTTAGGTGACATATTCCTTAATATAATTTGACCTAATTTTCAAAAGGCAGATCTTCTTATTTCAGGGGATGGGCCATTATTGATTCATTTCTGACTGCTTCAAGAGACATAAATAAATTTTGCCATTTTAGTTGACAATTTTAAAATAGAGAATTTTATTTTTACTCTATCATCAGAAGAGTCCACTACATAGAGATGTACAATTTGTAGAAATGTATTAAATACTAACTATGAATACACAATGGATAATTCAAAAACTGGGTAATTTAATACTTAATTATCTTAACATATACAAAACTACTTACATGAGTTTCTAGTTGTTCTCTCATGGTTCTGCATGGTAGAGATTGTTGGGCTGTTAATGGTAGTTTTTGATTAATTGATTTGTGGTTTATTTAAAGCTGAAACATGTTTAAGATTATAGAAGGTCACCTACAGTACCCAGGTGCCAACCCCCTCATCTATGTTAATTTTAAAGCTTGAGGGTTGGTCATGGTTCAGAATGGCAGAGTTGTTCACTCCAAGCAAATGAGACAGCCCCTAAGATGTAAGTGATTTCCGAGAGAAAGAAACTGAGAAAACATTATTGAAGAGAAAGGACAATAAATGAACAGGATTCAAAAGACCGAAGATGACAATTAACATTGAATTTAAATTTGTATAGATTGTAGTTGAGAGGAAAGCAAGAAACTGGAAAAAGTTTCACTAATGTGAATTGCAAGAGAAGAAATTATAAGAATAGAACTTACAGTTGCATTTAGCAATTTCAACAGTAAAATGGTGAGACCTAACTGCCAATCAAGTACAACAAAGTGAATGTAGTAATGAGGAAGGCTCATCTAACAATTACCATGACAATATTTGTAAAACAGTCACAGGAAAGCTACATTGTGGTGGTGGGAAAGTGACTGAAATCAACATATTATGTCAGGACCCATAACATTGCAGGTTCTTCTTTGGCTTTTATCATGAATCTCTAGATACATAACAGAAGCACCAGGCCAGATGTGGCAGCAATATTCAATGCATGGGTAAATGGTAGACTTATAAAGTTGCATGATAGATTCAGATGAGAAAAATTGTCTATCATAACACAGTGAACTCACTTTTGTAGCAAGAGACATTGCAGTTGATTTGATATAATCATGTCAGTGGAAAATTTTAGATTGATTTAACTGCAGAATTATATATATATATATTTGACTAGAAAAGTTGAGAGAGGTTGTTGACAGAACTCAGTATGAATTCCTTATATTAGCATTTCAAAGGCAAATTTGATGATTTAACTGGAGAATTTTATTGATGTTTTTTTGAGTGAAACTTTCTTGGAAGTAGTTCACAGTATAATGTTCATCATGTTTTGAGTTCAGTTTTTCAAATCTGGTTTTGTCACTGCCATTTTCCTCAACCAAGAGACCACTTTCAACCCTAACCTTCATTGCTGATGATATATTTTTTTTTCAGCAAACATTAGCTGACAAAAACATGTCATAAAATATGGTTATTGACGACAGTTCTGATTCTATTTGAGCTGTGATTCTTTGTAGATTTGAGTTCATGTCTTGTTGATATCAAACTTGACTTTATCCGAATTTAACTAGAATAGAAGAGTCTTTTGTTGAATCTTCTGTATGCACTCGTTAGTAAGGAATAAAGCCAGATTGGAGTGAGATGATTGTGTCATGCCAATTTTTCATTAGAAGATGGCCTTAGAAATTAGCTTTCAAAATCCTGTTTCTTTATACGGGTTTGAAATATCTTTAACATCAGCTGGAAATATAATCATTGAGAATGTCTTGTATTAAGTTTATTCCATTGTGACACATTTGTTAGAATGCTGAAAAATGGTCCAAGTGGTAGTAGTAGTAGTAATAGTATTAATAGTAGTAGTAGTAATAGTAGTAGTAATAATAATAATAATAATAGTAGTAGTAGCAGCAGTGACCATTATTTACTGTCCAGCTAATAAAGCTTTAATTACTTTAGTCACCAACTTTTAATTCTTGGACTTTAATGATTGTCTTTCTTTTAGTATTCAGAAAAGAATTTACACAGTAGTTTAAATGTACTCTTTTCATGTGTATGTATATATATATATATATATATATATATATATAAAAAAAAACTGACCACTTTAAGGTTCCATGTAATAAATTACTTCACCAAAGCCCTTTTAAAGGACTGCAGATCATCAGACTTTACTTCCAAACCTATATATATATATATATATATATATATATATATATATATATATATATATATATATATATATATATATATATAAATCTAGATTCTAAATGTCTTTTTTTCTTTCAATTTCAGATTGAAGAAGGAAACATTGAATACAAAGTAAGTATTTTCATGTCATTCATTAACTCTTTTTTGCCTCACATTGTTGTGTGATTCAGTAACAAAGCATGAATCCTGAAAATAATCTCTTGGATTTGGTTAATTCTAATGGCTAATCCTGACTCAATTGAACATGCAGATTATGTGTTATCAAATTTGTTTTGTTAAAATTACCTTAACCCTTTTATTTCTCTCATTGTTGTTTCACACTCAAGATTTTCTGGTTTTTGTTCTCACATCAATTGTCTTTTTTCAGTTTATCTTTTGTTCTTTGATGGCCATTTTGTCTTTCTTTTTATTCATTTGTTTTCTTTCAATTTCTCTCTCTTTTTTTTTTTTACTTTCTATGATTCAAATATCTCTTTAGTTTTTAGAAACAATAGCTTTAACCCTTCTTTTTTCTTTCTTCATTTCTTTTCTTTCCTTCTTTTCTTTTCTCTATGCTTCAGTTTTCTCCAATCACGCTCCTCTCCGCTTTTCTCCACCACCCACTTCTTTCCCCACCCAATCCACTTCTTTAACCACCTCTCACCCTTTTTTGAACTCCTGCCCACACTACTTTTTTCTTTCTATCTTTCTTCTCTTTTCTTGTCATCTCTTTTCTTTTCAACTTTCTTCTTCTTCTCTTTTCTGTCCATCTTTTTCTCCTCTTTTCATTCCATCTTTCTCCTTTTTTCTTTCCATCTTTCTTCTTCTCTTTTCATCTTTCTTCTTTTCTTTCCATCTTTCTTCTTCTCTTTCCATCTTTCTTTTTTCTTTCCATCTTTCTTCTTCTCTTTCCATCTTTCTTTTTCTCTTTCCATCTTTCTTTTTTCTTTCCATCTTTCTTTTTTCTTTCCATTTTTCTCCTTTTTTCTTTCCATCTTTCTTCTTCTCTTTCCATCTTCTCTTTCCATCTTTCTTCTTTTCTTTCCATCTTTCTTCTCTTTCCATCTTTCTTCTCTTTCCATCTTTCTTCTTCTCTTTTTTTCCATCTTTCTCCTTCTTCTCTTTTTTTTTCCATCTTTCTCCTTCTTCTCTATTCTTTCCATCTTTCTCCTTCTTCTCTATTCTTTCCATCTTTCTCCTTCTTCTCTATTCTTTCCATCTTTCTCCTTCTTCTCTATTCTTTCAGTAGTAATTTTGTTTATTATTTGTCATGCACCTTTTCCATTATTCAATGCAGGATCCCTAGCATTACAGCTGACAAGATAATATATACTTTTGCTACTTTCTCGTGTGAAATCGGATGACTTTGTCTCTTACTGAAAGGCTGCATAGTTTGTTGTCATGTATTTTGCCATGTTCTTTGTTCAATAAATCCTAAAAAATAAATTCAGGTTCTAGTACAATTTATTCAACAAAGAAATGTAACTGACTTCAAACAAATGGACTCTGGCTAAGTTGCTGTGACCTGATACATTAAAAACCAGTCCTAATTCAAGTTTTGCTTGAAAGAATGGAAGCATTGGTATTCTATATTCAACATTTTTTCATCTTTAACAAATTTATTATATGAGATTGAACACAGGATAGGTGGTACTTTTTTTCCAACACTGCAAAATGCTACAAAATCAAAATATTAACCTGAGATCTTGATTCATGCTCTTAAAGAGCCTTGTCAGATCTAGACTCTTACCTGGATGTCATACAATGCACCCAGCTAGTTCAGTAATGTCTAAAACATCATCTATATATGTTTTTTCTTAGACCAATGATTAAAAATGGCTTTAAGTGGATGAGTCATTTAGATCTTAAAGAAGACAATTCTTTATCAGACCCTATAGATTGACACAACAACATCACAGAGAGCTTTACCAAATAAAAAAAATCACATTATTAGAAGACTTCCAATAACAAACAAATGCATAGCACATGAAACTAGAAGGGAAAATTATGACATAATCAAGATGCTGCCTTTTTACAATACCTTAAACAAAAGGTTAGGAAGGGAAAAAAAAAATTTAAGATAACTTCCATTAATATTAGAAAGATCTATAACAATTACAGGAATTGAGAAGTTTAATTTCTTGAAAAAATCTTTTAAGAGACAAATTATAAATTTTAATTGACAGTAATGCTAACTGTTTGGTCAATAAATGCTAAATGTTTTCTGTATGGAAATGGCTAATTTCACCATTACCATTGAACAGTACTCTCTAAATAAACCGAATACCTTCATTAAGTACATTGCTTCTTCTGTTTGTTTTTCTAATTGGGAAACTTATGCTGATCTCATATGTACGTTGCTGCAGAATTTGTATGTGTAGCCTAAAAATGAGGTGTTTTACACTGGGTGTTTATTAGCTACAAATTAGCAACAGTCAGGGAGGAGACACTAAGTGAATATTTGTAGGTACCAAATATTTACAGGTATCAAAGCATCAGAGTGGAGACCAGTTACATAGCTGTCGGTACTAAAAAGTATAAAGAAGAGGCTATATGTGATACTTTTAATGAATACCATTTGTTAGTAGCTACCTGAGAACAAAACACTTGACCTTGCAACTGTGTTTGGTCAAGTAAGAGCTCTGGAACAGACTCATCAAAAGCTTTGGGATTGTACTGTGTAATATAATCTTTAGTGAAGCAACAACAGCAACTCCTGCCACTGATGGTGTAGAAGCATAGTAATAGTAACAGATTCTCTCTAAACCAAACACTGGCCACTGTTTCTAAAGGGCAGAAATGTTTCTACTGTGGCAATAATAGATACCATAACGGGAACTGTACAACATGAGGAGCTACATGTAATAGTTAGGCACAAAAGGGACATTTTGTTGAATTGTATCATCCGGTTATGTAATATCAATCCTCCTCTCTAGCAGTGAATTCCTCACAGAATAAGAGGAAACTTGAAGCAATGTAGACGAGGTTCTACAGAAGAACAATGAGAATACCGTGGAAGGAAAGTGTCAGCAGCAAGAACGTTTTAAGAAAAATGGGAAAAAAAATGATACTTTTGCTTAAAATCACATAGGGACAATTGGAAAGGGGGCTTGGAGAATTTGACACTGACATGACATAGAGAGGCAGAGGGAAACAATGTGTAACATACCTGATGTATTTGTGTAAATAAACCTAGAACATGAACAGGGAGGTACTTTAAGGGGATAATTGTTGCTTAGTACTACAAAGAAGAGGAAGTTGTGGAGGGCCATGATCATTCACGTTCTGAAGGGGGTGTTGCACATAAAAGAATATCATTCAGCAATCCCTAGAGCACTTCAAATTCCAACTCTTGCTGTGATGGCAGGTCAAAAATTTTACCTACTGCAACTGGACTAAAGGTAGTATGTAGAAACTTTTTATTTTATCTATGGCAACAACTTGATTGCATTTCCAGATTCCTGGTCCTTGTTTGGTGAGTGGAAGTCTAAAGGAATGTCAATATCAGAATATCAGATTGTTTTGTGTTGATGTCATCTTAGGACATGACTTTTATCAAATAACGTCAGAGAATTTCTGTGTAAAATTTCAATGGAAAGAAACTTCCTTTAAATGTGTGTGGATTGGCTACCTTTTTCTGTCCCTCTTTTTGCTAAATTTACTAATGCCTGGAAAAAGAAGTTACAGAAAACCCAAAACAGAGGTGGAGGGATAACATCATTTTTGTGGTCCCGAACTTATGAGTGGCAGACATCAAATAAGCTTGCTGAAGATCGTAATAAATGTTGAGAAATAAGCCATGTTAGTTTGCGATTGGCTGCAGGTGGAGACAGTGACTAATGATGACCAATGATTGCAGTCCAATGAGTGTGAAGTTGAGGAAATCTAGTTCTACAGGTCAACACTTTATTGCAACTGATGCGATACTTAATTCCAAGCACTTTCCCTCCTTAGTGAATTCAACCTGTAGTAACCAAGAAAAGAATGGTAGTTGATTACTCTCATTTAATACTGTTAGATGCTTACTCCATACAACCTGGTGAATACTGTGGCACAACATTGATAATTTAGTACAAGAGGCTTGAAATCAGCCCATCATCAAGTCTGATTGCACTGTTTTTGAAACCCTGGTCAACTATACCAATTTTGGAGTAACCTTCTCACAGATGTTTGTTAATAACTCTTTCTGACACATTTGCTTACCTGGATAACATATTTATAGGGAAGAGTATTATAAAAGCTACTGAGAGGTTTATCTTGACCTACATTCATGAGTGTACATACTCTCCCCGTCTCTTTCTTGACTCCTTGCTCTCCCCATCTCTTTCTTGACTCCTTGCTCTCCCCGTCTCTTTCTTCACACCTTGCTCTCCCCGTCTCTTTCTTGACTCCTTGCTCTTCTCGTCTCTTTCTTGACTTCTTCCTCTCCTCATCTATTTCTTCGCATCTTGCTCTCCACATCTCCTTCTTCGCATCTTGCTCTCCCCGTCTCTTTCTTCACTCCTTGCTCTCCCCGTCTCTTTCTTCACTCCTTGCTCTTCCCGTCTCTTTCTTCACTCCTTGCTCTTCCCGTCTCTTTCTTCACTCCTTGCTCTCCCCGTCTCTTTCTTCACATCTTGCTCTCCTCGTCTCTTTCTTCTTGTTGGCTTTATCTATAGAATATGCTGACTGCACCTATGCAGTGGGGTAAGACTCCCCTCTCCCAATAAGGCCACCTGTTTGCAAACATGTGGACACTTAAAAATGGCTGAAGATGAAAACATGGTGGTTGAGCAGTCTATGACCTGGGCGTTTAAGTTGTCATGTGACAGGCAACAATCTTCTTTGGTCCTTACTTGAGCTAGACAGTCGGCCAGAGAGACTCGATCTGATCAATTGGCTAGTCAACCAGATAATGCCTTGCAAGATAGATCACATGATGGTGTAATCCCCCACTTCTTATTTATTTTAAAAGTGCTAGAAAGGTGATGGCTGAGGGTCAATTAAGTCAAGAGAGAGAAAATTTGACCACTGTTTCATATTAAGGCGTCAGTTTTTGTTGGGTACTGAAGCATAAAAGTAGCAGGGCCTCAGTCATTTCACAACACGTGTATACTGGTTGATGTATCCCTGTCTCAACCAAGGGGAATAGGTTTAACCATCTTGATAAATTTCAAATAGAAATTGAAGTCTGTGGTGGGTGGTTGAGCATAGGATTGATGAAAAAAAAAAAAAGAAAAAAGAAAATTACATGGCAAACTCAAACAAAACCCCCAAACGGAATCTCTCTGACTCTGATTCAGAAATAGAAGCAGAAAGTGAATTCTCTATATTCATCCTAATTGAATTTCTAGAGGAAAACCCTTCTGTCTAATCTGTCTGCATTCTTGATAGAACAAGTAATTATTAGCAGGGCAAATCTTTGAACATTAAAAAAAAAAAAAAATCAGAAGTGGCAATGTACTTGTCAATATGAACAATAAGAGACACACAGATAACATACTGAAAATAAAATCTTTCCACAATTTAAAATGTAAAGCTTATTCACATGAAAGATTTTAACATTTCAAAGGAAGTAATAAGAAATAGAGAACTGTCCATAGCTACACCAGAGCAAATAAATGCAACTTTAGGAAAGCAAATATAGATTTCGGCATTAAATGACCCATAGAGGTGTTGATATGTAAATAAGCAAAAAAACAACAACCAACAAATCCTTATGTTTTTCTTTCCTTGTCTTTTTCTTCATGTCTTCATTTCCTCATCACTTTTGATCCCAGTTGTTGTTTCATCTTTTTTGTTCCCCCCCCAACCAGTTTTCTTCTTCTCATCTATTTTGCTACCCGACATAATCTTCCACTTTTGTCTCTTTTGTTCTCCTGTTTTTCTTTCCTCGTTTCTTTCTTTCCCCTCTCCTCATCTGTTTTGTGGGCGTCCTCTACTTGTGTCTTTCCTCCTGTCCTTGGCTCCTCATTTTCTAATGTTTTATCTAAATTTTGTTCTCACACGTTTCATCGCTCAATCTGACTGTTGTACATGAGAAATCAGGGAAGAACGAAATTGTCAGTTTTCAGGAAATAATGGAAAACTGACTGCCAGTATAGGGCAATTCTACATAAACTCTTACAGACCTCTTTCTCTGTCTGTCTGTTTGTCTCTCTTTCTCTCTCTCTCTCTCTCTCTCTCTATATATATATATATATATATATATATATATATATATATATATATATATATATTATAAATTAATTGATTTAAAATATGTTTTTTTTCCTACACAGTTCTAACCATGTTTCAAAATGGATCTTACTGTTCTTTTTTTTTATATTTATATATATATATATATATATATATATATATATATCCAAGTAAGATGAGAACGAATATAGTACAATTCCAACATTTGTAACATTTAATTTAAAAGAGGGCTCAATACAAAGTAGAGCAATATTCCTTATTTAAGGATATTACATTGAAAAGATGTCAAGATTGCTACACAATTGCAGTCGTGTTTTCATGCATATCAAAGCTTCTCATCAGGCAATTGTAGATTGTAAATTGGGTAATTTACAATCACCTGATGAGATGCTTTGATATGCATGAAAACATGACTGCAATTGTGTAGTGATTTTGACATGTTTTCAATGTAATATCCTAAAATAAATAAAGTGTATATATATATATATATATATATATATATTAATACAAATAAAAGGTTTGTCATTTAGCTGATTGATGTTACCTTCAGCATACATAACATATACATCTATGTATGCATAAAGTAATAGAGGTATAATATAAATAAATTTGATGTAAATTGTTGTTTTTTACAGTTAAAATTGGTGAATCCTTCCCCATCTCGATTTGAGCACTTAGTGACCCAAATGAAGTGGCGTCTGCAAGAAGGAGAAGGAGAAGCAATCTATGAGATTGGAGTTGAGGACAATGGAGTTCTTGCAGGCTTGCCAAAACCGGAGCTTGATAGCTCAGTCAATACGTTAAAAAAAATGGCCAAAAAGTAAGTAGTCTTACTTTGCTTATTGCAATCACTAACCCTTATGAAAATATGTTTTTTAAATGAATGATTAGATCCTCTTGTCACCCCCAACTTCTACCTCTGATGGCTTTAATAAATGCTCATAGCTTGGCAAAAGCTGCAATATTCAGTTATGCTCATGGCATTCTATACTATAGACCATCTCATGGTGCATCTATGGGACAGATTGGAGACTTATTTCAAAAACTCCTGATTCCACTGGGAGTAAGTCATTTTAGTTCTAGTTTGAGTCTACAGATATTTGCAGCTGTAGTTGGATCAAGAAATTTAGATAAATTTTTACTTTTACATTTGGAATGACTTTTGTTCATTTAATTGAAGTAAGTATAATTATTATTTATTTTATTTTCCTTGCAATATTATTTTAAGTTTATAGAAAAAAAAAATGTTCTTTTTGTACAAAATTCATTAAAAAAGTAATTTAGGAACTTTGGTCTTGTCACTTGGGAGATAATTTAACATTTTTTAATTACAGTTAATTTTACACTTTTCAATTAAAGTTAATTTAATATTATTCCCTACGAAATTTTTCTTCATAGAAGCAAATGCACTAATGATCAACTTTAATGTTTTTGCATAATCTGTATTTCTACTTCTAACATGTAAAAAAAAGTATTAGATTTTTATCACAGTTCTTATACCATCATGTAACTTTTGTACATCACAAAATTAATGAAAAAATATTAAAGATCTAGACAAGGCAGTATGTTCTAATTTATTTGGTTTAAAGAAATAATTTATTAACCCGATTTTGTAGTCTTTCTTTTTACAAATATTACACAGTCTCTCTGAAAATAGTTAATTTTCATAATATTTTTGTTGCATTTAATTTTTAATTGTGTTCTTTTTCTGAAGACTATTTTCATTGATTCTGTTTTTAGATTTCAAAATTTATTTAAAAATGATATTTTTGTCACATAATGCTCAATTAATATCTTTCTCTATAATGTTATTCATGACAGCAAATATATTGATAATAAAATTTTATATTTTAGGAGTAATTTGTATTTTTCTTTCTAAAAAGTATTAAAAATTATGTTGAATTTTAGTTTATTTTACTATTAAAAATCATAAAATAGAAGCAAATGTAATATTTTTATACTTCAAAATTAATGAAAATCTAATTTATTAAGTATGTTGCTGAACTTTTAACCCCCAAACTTATGAAATTCAAGTAATGATTTGTCAACCTCATAATTATGAATAACAAAACTCCTATAAAATCAAAATTGAAAAATGACCAATGTAATATATCGATTTAATTGCTCACTGCAAGACTGCAGCTCTTGTCTTAAACTGATTATCTACATTGGACATATGACAACAACCCTTTCCTGAAAGATGAAGGATGACACACCACCACAAGTGATATCAGTGCCATAAAAAAAAGTATCTTGACATCCACAAACAACTACCTGCCCCCATTGTAGAATTCTAGTTGAAAATTATTGATGTTCTTCATATAAAACAATTCAAGCCAAGCATCCATCTTACTTTATTTAACAATACAGCCTGTCTGAAGTTATTATGCAAATCATATAAACCTCAATTTGGTGTCACTGATAGAATCTCTAACACTGTTGGATGAGCCAGACTTTGTGAAAACATGGTTTCATTGTTTTGCTGCCCATGTGCTGGCCAAGAAGTTAAAAGATCACAAAGGTGAAGGAGAGGAAAACAAGATTAGAGATCTCTTTTTGGCTTTGGCAGGATGTGAGTTCATCAGAAAGATCTCTGTCATGGCATATCCCAGAGTTTTGGAGGATTTGACCTTTTCATAAACTTTGGGCATTATAAAGAGAAATTTGTGACCAAAAAAGAAGTTGGTTATTGCTGAGGGGGACAAAGTTTCTCGCAAACAAGAGGAAAACATATCAATAATACCGTATGTATACAAGCTACAAGAGGCTTCCAGATTCTGTGAGTTTGAAAAACTTGGCACTGGAGAAATGACCATTGAAGATGAATTGATACAGATTAATTGAAGGTGTGTGATGCTTTGTACAAACACAAAGTTTCAGAATGCTTACAACTAACTAAAATGCCTTTGGATATATCTATAGAGTTTTTGCAACAATTAGAGTTAACTGAAAAATTCAATATATTCAAGAGTAATGCTGAAGCATACAGTATATCGAATTACCTTATGTGATGCAAATAGTGTGATAAAAAGCATGAACAAGACAAGAAAAAATGTCCAGCTTTAGGACAAGTATGCTGGAATTGTGAAAAGAAAAAACATTTCTAGTTTGTGTGCAAGTATAAAAGGAAAATAGAAAGGGTAGAAATTCCCCTGACTCAGAAAAATAAAGCAGTATTTGTAAAACAAAATCATAAAGAGAAAAATGCAAGAGAAAAAATTAAGTTGAATGGCATAACTTTTCCTTTGCAAGTATATTCTGGGAGTGATATCATCCTAATCCCAATAAATTTCTGGAAATAAATGGGCAAACCCAGATTAAAGAAAAGTTGGCTTAAATTAAAACAGTTCTATGGCTCTTTCATCAAAACATTAGGTTGTTTTGAAGGAACTTTTGAGACCAACACATGCTTTAAAATTATTCCCATCAAGGTTAGTGAAATGTGAAAAAAGTCATAGACCGATGTGAATAGATGTCTTTGAAGTGTATACAAGAAAATTAATTAAAATTGTGAAGTCGGAAAGTAATGATGAGAGGATTTTAAAAGGCTACAAAGCAAGCATTCAATTAAATGAAAATAGTCAAGACTCTTACTTTGAATATCACAGATTAACCATTCACATGCAACCTTTAGTAGTTACTAAACTGAAAACAATGTTCCCCTTGGTGGTACTAACTAGGTCTCACCCATTTAATGTTTTACAAAAACCAGATGGAGATTTAAGGATATGTGGGAATTACAAAATAAGATTAAACCACAAAATATGCTTTGATTCGTTCCTTATTCCTAACTTTGAAACTGCTGTTCACAAGTTTTTGGGAATTAAATACTTTGCTAAAATTGACATCTAATTTGCTTATAATTAGATACAAATTGGTGAAAAATTTAAAGACATCACTACAATTAACTCTCTAAAAAGCTTACTCAAATGGAAGCATATGCCTTGCTGTTTTTGCACCACAAGTGCTATCTTTCAAAGTGACATTGAAAATGTACTGATAATGTTAAGAATACGGTCATTTATCAAGATGATATATGCATTGGTGCTACTAGTAGAGAAGAGCTAAAACTAAAAACAGATTATGTTTTAAACAAATTCAAAAATGCTGGGATGGCTATAAACAAGGATAAATGTGTGTTAAGATGCATCATAATAACATATCTATGATATCAGATTTCCAAGGACAGAATTTCACCAGACACAAATTTGATAAAGAAAATAGCAGAGGTATCTTCACCTACAAATTAAAAAGAATTAGAATCTTTTTTTAGGGTTAGTCAATTTTTACAATAGATATTTGCCAAAGTATAGTGAATTGATGGAAGCCTTTGCAGAGTTACGAAAAAAAAACAACAGATTTAAATGGACTCAATGGCAGAATGCAGCATTCAAAAATTTAAAGAAAGAATTTATAAAGAGAAACCTGTTGTAAAATTTTTAGGCCTAAAAAGGAAATTACAGATGCAAGTGAGCATGACGTATAAGTGATTTGTGTCTATAATGTACCTTTCTAGAAGATTAATATCAGCTGAGGCCAACTATTCAAATATTGAAAAAGAAGCATTCGCTATCATATGGAGCACAGATAGAGCTTACCAAGAAGTTTCTACTTAAATCTGACCATAAATTTTTAGAGTTTATTTTTAACACCAGGAAGACACAGGTTAACTATTGAGATATTCTAATACCACCAGAGATGTTAAGAATAGATGTAATAAAAGCATACATGATGATGATCATTGTGGAATAATAGCTATATATATATATATATACCTAAGTATAGGATTGGTGTATATGGAATAAATTCCAATAACCAACAAATACTATTCTTAAAAGAGTGTTCAATACAGAGTAGAGCAAATATAATTATTTATTCGAAAATTATAACATAAATATGTTATAAAATAACTAAAAAAATAGCCATTTTGTTTCAACACTTCTGATGTCTTATCAAGTCATGGTGTTGAATGTAGAATAAAGGGTTTTAAAAAGTTCAAATCAATCAAACACTCCTCGCTAGGAATGACCAATCAAAATACAAGTATATAAGAATTCAAAAAACTTGACAAAGAATTTGGGTTATAATAATTATTTAATGCTTTAATGTTAGGATTAGACTAAAATAGAATTCATTCTAACTAATTAATATTAAATTATACTATAAAATTCAAAATTCAAGATTACCGATTTTAAATTTTAAATTTTGATCTATATTAAGTTTAAAATTATTTAAAGAAGAAACTGAGGAAAAAATACATGTTTCTTTATTTATTTTGTTTTTATTGAAATTAAGTTGGAATAAACGTTAAGATCTAATGTTGGTCTGAACTTACAATTTATATACATTTGAAGTGAAGACATGCGCAGGGGAGGATGAAATCTTGCAAAAGACAATTACATACACAATCAGATTATAATACATAAACACGCAGACGTATTTAGATATATAAACACGCGAAAAAGTGATGATACAGGAAATATTTCCACGACCCTTAAAAAAAAAGAAAAACAACATATAGATACAATGAAAGGTACATATAAGTGATTATACATACATACATTGATAAAAACACCCACATATACCCACCAGTTTCCCCTAGCGAGGGAGTTTGATTGATTTGAACCTTTTAAAACCCTTTATTCTACATCACTTGATAAGACACCAGAAGTGTTAAAACAAAATGGCTTTTTTGTAGTGATTTTATAACATATTTTGGAATAAATAATTATATATATGTATATATTTTTGAATAAATAATTATATATATATATATATATATATATATATATATATATATAAGGCACATGGCTAAGTGGTTAAAATATTAACTTTCTGACCATGAGACTTGGGTTCAAATCTCACCAGGATCGATTTGTCAGGAAGGTAACTTCTTAATATTATCAGTCTGGAGGAGTCCATCCCAATGTGTGGCACTTTTAGAAAGTACCTGAAAACCACATCATGGGCTGACCCAATCTTTGTGAGTGAAATTGGATAGATGGAACCCTGGGGAAGCTGTTGGTGGTTGTGCTAGCACAAAGTCACAAATCATCGTGACTGAGAGTTTGAGGGTGCTGGCATTGTTCAGACTGTTGATCATGCTAGATAACATGCTCTCTCCCAGAAACTGTAACTAAGGTCTGTTCAGCATAGTTGCAGTATAAACCACAGGTGGGCTCTGTGGATTTTGAACAAACACAAATGTGCCTGAGCAAGTGTCTGCAACAAGGATTAGTTAGTTGCCCCAGTAGACGGGCATGCTCAGATACGAGTGGCCAGCTACTATATATGCATACATACATACATACATACATGATATCCCTAAAGTCTGGAAACATAGGCAATATTTTCAAGAAATTAAATTATCAAAAACATTTTATTGAATTGGAATATTAACAAATAACATCTTCAATATGATTTCCATCATTTGTGATGCAAAGATTGATGCACTTTGCAGGATTCATGTAAAATCGATGTCATAACTCCACATTGTCATCAATTTTAGCACATTCACTCTTTATGCATTCAATCAAGTGTGTTGCATCTGTGATCTTCATTGAGTACACCTTCTCCTTTAGCAGACCCCAGAAAAAGAAGTCAATTCTTTTTTCTTTCAACAAAACCACATTTAATCTGTGGAGGTAAAAAAACATAGTTAATGAGATTTCCTGTGTGTTCAAATTTTAGGTACACCCTGTGTGTGTGTGTGTGTGTGTGTGTGTGTATGTATGTATATATATATATATATATATATATATATAATTGCAGTCTAAGTAATATTGACAATTTTTTTTTTATATAACATTGTTATTAATTTTTTATATGCAATGACAATTTATTCACAATGTTGACAAACTTATTTTTGTTTCCTCCAGACTTGGTGCTACAATTACGATACTAAGGGAGAGAACTGTGGAAACTGACACACGGAAAGCTCTGCAAGTTCTTGTTCGAAAAGTTCCTGATGATCAACAAGTGAGCAATCAATACATTTCATTAAATAGGAGCACACTTTTTTTTAGATTTTTAATTAATATCATTTTTTTTTTTTGATAAATTCACCCCAAACAAGGTGATAATGCCACTAAGACGCAAAGGAGTACTGGGAAAGAAAATAAGAAGACTTTAGAAGGAACTGGAAACCCAATCCTAAATAGGCAATAAGCAATAAACCTCTACTCCTGTTCAAAAGACCAGGGAAGGAATATGAACTGGGCTATGGTCAAACCTATCTACTCCTACTGAGGAAAAATAAAAAAAAAATAAATAGTAAATAAAATTTCACTTTTGGTTGAGACATCGGAAGTATAGAGTTGAAGTAGACTTTAGAAGAAACACGGGATAAACCTCTAGTACTGTTCAAAAGATCAAGGAGGAGTGTGAACTGGATGATATATTTTATTGCATATTGTATATTTTGATCTGGTTTCAGTTAGACTATACAGGGTGTGATGGGTAAATTGTCGCCAGTTTTATTTAAAAAAAAATAGTGTATATGTGTTGTGTGTTTTTGATTTTGTTGACGGCACATTATAGTAGGGTCAGTTGGGCACTGTCTGTAAGAAAAAGAGCACCATGACATAATTCAGTCCAGCAGAAATTTGGAAATGGCATGTTGTACTGCTTGGCATGTGTGCCAGATGCTCCAATACAAACATTTTAGAGTGTTTGGGTATCAATCTGAGGAAATTGCTGAGGATTCGGAAAGAGTTGCATGACTCTAATGGTGATTATGATGACAGGGCAACTTGGAAAACTCACTCTGATCATTCTGTTAAGAAAAGAACTCCCAAATTTGTTGGTGATTGACTTAGACTCAACATGGAGGCCTACATCAAGTGCCTTGAATAGGTAGTGCTGCCCTGGGTCAAGTGGGTGGCTGCTAAAAGACCTTATGATTGGTAACTGGACTCTGCACCATGCTACACAGGCAGGAGAACCCAGTCATGGCTATTAGACAATTTCTGCAACCACATCACTCCTTACATCTGACCACCTAACTCCCCAGACTGCAACCCCCTTCATTATTATGGGTGGGGTGCAGTTAAACAAGAGACCAACAAAACTCCTTGTAACACTAATGATGAAGTGAAGGCAAGGATTATGGCAGGATTCACTAACTTAAACAAGGAGTTGCAGGCAATTATGAAGTCATTTGGAAGCCATGGTTGAAGCCAATGGCAATTTTATTGAAAAAATTTATTCTAGTATTTCAAGATATTAATTAATATATTAAGATATTACTTAATTTTGGTAAATATATCTGTTAAAATGAGATGTCAGTATTATTTTCATTTTTGTGTAATTTAGACAACAATTTATCCATCACACTCTGTACATCATCTACATATTCCCTATGACTATTAATTTTTGTAAGTTTTTAGTGGAAAAGCCAAACAAAAATTTATTATAATTTATTAATTTTATTACAGAAATATATTGGAAAATAACTGACTATAGTCTGCAAATAATTTTATTATGGAATTACATTGGCACTCAGTTGTCTATAGCTTACAAATAATTTTATCATAGAAAACATTGGTGATGCAAATAATTATAAGAATATATTGAAAATCAGTTGTCTGTAAATAATTATATTATAGTAATATACTGGCAGTTAATTGTCTATAGTCTACAAGTAATTTTATTATAGATATAAATAGGAAGTGATTTGGCTGTGGCTTATAGGAATACATTAGGAAAGAATTTATATAATTGGGAAGAGTTTGTCTGTTTGCCATGCACAACCAAACCCTTTCATACAACCTTCACACTTGGCAAGCATACTTACTGAACCCAGTGGAAGGTTTTAAGATAAAGCTATAAACATTTGGTTTCCCATGAGGAAAGGTGGACCCCACCTCTTTTCTATTATGTGGATTTATCTTTCACAGTAATAGGTGTTGCCTTTTTGTGTAAGACTATAATTTCTCTTTCATTATTAATGTCCCAACAAAAATGTATTTTGATAAAGCAATTTCACTGAACAGTTTTTTTTTTTTAAAAAAAAGTTTTATTTTTCATAGTATTTCTTTATTGGAAACTTACCAGCAGCAAATTAAATCATTTTTATTTTATTGGGATTCAGTCAACTGTGATTCAAGTTTACCCAGTGTAGATAGGTATATCTGTGACATTATGGACATTCATATAGAGGGAGGTGAGATTTTATCTTCTCTCAAGGGTTTCTGTTTTATGGCTAGTGGATGTTTATTTTTTTTAAGTCTGGTCTTCTAAGCAGCATCCACTTTGACCACTAGGGAAACAGATGACTAAAGGAGTGGATAGGAGCTTTTGGAGACCAAGTGGCAACAAATCAGACATTGATTATTTCCGAGTGTTGGTCTATATTAACAGTCTTGCTTGGGATCAGGGGGAGTCTGTTCTGGTGCCCCTGGGGATGGACATGTGCATTATTTGGTTCTAATGCCACTCGTGTTTGTATTGTTGAGATGTGTAAATGGCCAAGGAATTTGTAGGGAGAAGAGCATAGCAGACATTGTTCAAGTGTCACCTACCTATCCGCCCACATGAAACCCCGAATAAAATGTCTAAAAATATTGGAAACAAGTTTCACATTCTTCTTTCTTGACGACATGACCTTTGTTTTTTGGTTTGTTTAATGGTATACTAACTCCTTATGGGTCATTTAATGCCAAAATTTAATTTTCTTTGGCGCACTAGGAATTTCTTTTACAAAAATGTATTGCTTATATTTTTACTATTTGATAATGTCTTGACCCCAGTTTGAGGGTGGGGTTCACTATTTGCCCATCGTTGGGACCCTAACAGGTGCTATCACACTGGATCAGGGTGGACTTGGTTCCATGCTCCTCAGAGCCTCCTGATTAGAGGCCTTGCTGCCAGATGTAGTTTATTGTCATACCTTTTGAGATGGCATTTGTTTTTCATCTTGTTACCTTCTGAAAATGCACTATGTCCTTTTCCAGTTTTCAGTGCATATTAAGATAAATGAGAAGAGAAGACTACATGGGGGAATCATTGTTTGGTTGGTGGAAAGCTGTGTGGCATCATGTGGTGTTTACACTTCAACTCATGTTACTATAAAAATTTATTGCTAATGTTACTGTAGAAATGCATTGTAAATAATATTTCAAAAGAAATACTTTGTAAAGGATTTATGTATACAAATGTATTGAAAATAATTTTACTGTAGAAATACATTGGGAATAATAATAGCTGGCTGCTCATATCCAAATAAGTCTATCTTCTAGACAATCCCTATTGCAGACACCTTCTCAGGCACATTTGTGTTTGTTCAACATTCACAGGGCCTACCTGTAGTTTATACTGCAACTATGTTGAGTGGACTTTAGTTACAGTTTCTGTGAGAGAGTGCATTATCTAGTATGATTAACAGTCTGAACAAGTCTAGTACACTGAAACCCACAGTCATGATGACTTGTGACTTCATGCTAGCAGAACAATTGACAGCTTACAAATAGTTCTGTCTATCCAATTTCACTCATAAGGCTTGGGTTAACATGTGGTATGGTTGTTCAAAAATTGATATGGCAGCTCAATTCAACAACAAAATAAACAAATCACAAGTCCAAACTTAAAGATCCAGAAGCAGAAAGAAATGTCCAATGTCACAAATCACAGGTCCAATGTCATAAATACCAATACGTGTAAATGATCAGAAATCCAACACGCAAGCTGATAGATGAGGTAGAAAAATAGAATGAATTTTCAATTCGAGAATAGCAATTGCTTTTATCAAGAGAACAATTTTTTCATTGGTTGACAGGTGGGAGAGGACACACCATATTAGCATATCTGAGATGCATTTATGGCAACACCTGCAATTGAGTTGTTTTTATTTGGTTTATTTTGTTTTCAGCATATCATACAGAACACGTGTGCCCCTTTTTCTTGGTAAGTGACTTTCACTTTTGCCACAATGGTTTTTGGGGACTTTCCAAAAGTGGCATTGGCTGGGATCACCTCCCCAGACCAATAACATCAACAATTCACCTTCCTGATAAATCAACCATGGTGAGATTTGAACCTGGATCTCATAGTCAGAAAGCAAACATTCTATTTGGCCCAGCACTCATTGGGAGTAATATTACTATAGAAATATATTGTAAATTTTCAGAATACCAAATATGAGAAGCACCTGTAGAAAACCAGAGGGCAGCGTGGCCAAAGAGAACCAAGAGAATGGTACTAGTTTGAATAAAACATTGTACAGGATGCACCAAGTCTTTTGAGAAGACACCTTTAATCAGATATAAATGAAAGACTACCTAACATAATATTAAACTCCATGTTTCAAATTTAAATTTTCTAATTTCTTTTTTTGATGTACTGAGAGCATTAACATGGCACCTTTCAGTTTCACACTTGAAAAAGCATGACTGTGCTTGTGGCATTAGATGCTAACCCCAGTTTCAGAGAGAACAAACTTCTTCCATACAGTGCTTCAAGGTCAATGCAATTACCTGAGCCAAGGTGAGGGCCCTACATTTCCAAGCAGAACTCCTTATATATTACCCACATGACTCTAAGGTAACTACCACCTCTTAATTGCTGGTGTTCCCAGGTCCACCCTGACTCGGGGTGGTAGCACCTGTTAGGGTCCCAGCTATGGGCAAATAGTTAACTATTCCCAGCAATACTTTTTTGAAAAAAATTATTACCAGCAATACAGTTTTGAAGGAAATATATTACCAGAAACAGATTTTTGACCAAACAAAATATTACCAGCAAGAAAAATTTTTGTCAGCATTAAATAACCCTCTAAGGTAACTGGCTGAGAATTTTTATGATTACATCACCTTTATTGTATGGCCTTCCCTCTTGGTTTGAAACCTTTGGATTACTTTGTGTTGTTGTTGAGAGTGGACTAATCATCATCGCCATAGTAACAGGGTCTCAATAAAAGCCATCATCATGAATAAGAATCATATAATCTGAGCATGCAGTTGATTCCAAGGCCACATCAATGCCTTTCTTGAAACTGAAGGTATGTTTATTGAATAAATCTTTTTTTGATGTTTTTCTAAGTTGACCATCTGTACAAATTTGTAGAAAGATATACTGATGTTTTCCAATTAATTATTTTTGTTTTTCTTTCTATTTGAATTTGTTCTCAATTACATACCACAACTTGTATAATATTTTGTTTGTCATCTTTAAGTTGGTCTCTCCTTATTTTTTTTATTTCTTTTGTTTCTCTTCATTTTCAGTTCATTGACTTACGACTTGCAGTATTAGGAAATGTTGATGCTGGAAAGAGTACGTTACTTGGAGTTCTCACACAAGGGGAATTGGACAATGGCCAGGGGAGAGCACGTCTCAATTTGTTCCGTCATTTACATGAAATTCAGTCTGGGCGGACATCAAGTATAAGTCATGATATCTTAGGGTTTAACAGCATGGGACAGGTAAGTTAAATAAAAAACATTTCATTCATTTCAGATAATTTGCTTAAAGGCCAGAGAAAAAAAAATTAAGTTTGAATATTTAATTCTGACTGGATTTTCATTTAAAAACAAAATACAGGCTGTCCATAAAGTTCGTGTGCACTTTAAAACAAAATACAGGCTGTCCATAAAGTTCGTGTGCACTTTAAAACAAAATACAGGCTGTACATAAAAGTTTGTGTGCACTTTAAAAAATTTATAACTTTATTTGTATTTGCAATAGAAATAATTTGTAAAAAGGATTAGAAAGAAGTAAATCTATATTCTTTAAGGTTTTATTGAAATTTAATTAAGTTTCCACATATCCTCCATCATTAGTAATACAAAGGGTAATACGATTTTGCAGTTGACGGAAAATGATTTGCCAACTGATTTACAGTTAAGCCTGAAATCACATTAGTTATTTTAGCTATACTGAAAACTAGGTACATTAAACTTTATAACATTTTTTACAGATTATTTCTATCGCAAATACAAATAAAGTTATAAATTTTTAAAGTGCATACAAACCTTATGGACAGCCTGTATGTTAGGGATATGTTTTGTTTAACATTTACAAAAACTAAGGTGGAATTATTTTGTATATCAGCAAAGAACCATTATAGTTTGCATAAATAGGCTCTCTTTTTCTTTCTGTGCTATGTACTTTCAACATTGCCAAATTGGTAAAACTTAGAATGTGTTGATTGTGGCTCCTGTAGGTGACTTGCCCAAAAAGAGCCACCTTTTAGGTGGATACTTGCTAACTTCAGTATAAAAATCAACATAACTCTACTCTTTATGCTCCATTGCAAACCAGAGCTGTGTCTATCAATCTATTAATTCATGGTGAGTTTTACCCTATAAGACTTATACTTAACATTAAATAATTTGACAAATGGAGGCACAGTAGATTACGGTTTGAATAGAGCAATTAGGAAGCTGAGTTTGAATTCATGTCGAATTTGTTACATTCACTTACATGCCCTTGGGAAAGGTATGATTTCATTTCTTATCCCCCAGCTATGGGTAAAATAGCAGGACAGACTGGGTCCTATAGCTTTGGGTGGCAGTTGGTTTAGATGAAGGAAAACTGAATTCAAACTAACCAGGAGATGGTTGGTTTCCGTCAGGCCATCTTGCCCAAGACACACGACTTCTACTACAGCTGCAGTACATGTCGTGTCCTTACGACACTAATGGGTTATTCGACTTTTGATGATCATAAACCTGACAAATTGTGATATGGATTAAAATTAACTAACCTAACTTAACAAACCTTCAGCATATTGGTCTCCACAGCTTCCCGTTTGTTGTTTTCAGCAATACTTACCCTTTACAACTTCTATTTGTCTACGTGTGTTCACAGTTAGGATTGATTAGATCTGTCAAAAATTTGATTGCCACTAATACTTACATATAGAGTGATGAAACAAATATTAAAAGATATATGGAGATTTACTGGAAATTATATCATTATAAAAGTGCATTTATTTTAATATTAGTTGTTTATGTAATCTATGATGTTGTACATAACCATTGAGAGAAAGAAATTTTATCAACAGAACCATGTGTTTAGATGCAATGTAATATGTTGTAACTGGTTTGAAATATAATTTGAAAATGTAATGTGGTCATGTACGACATCATAGAAGTGCATTACGAATTTACAACCTGTGTCTGCTATTCCGCAACCATTATCATCGCATAGCAATCTTCTATGTAAACATAATACGATGCCATCTTTGATGGTGAACATTTCTATTATAATATCCATATAATCACTCTGATTATGTCTCGTGAGCTAAAAGCTTAGATCGAGGAACAACATAATAAAAAAAATATCCAAACGTTGGACAGTTTTTGTCTTTATTTTCTTTCAAAACTAAAGCAACTATATGAAGCTTAGAACGGCTTATGATCAGACATAATAGACATTCATTGTCTGTTATATTTAACAATATATGTCTGAATAATGATCTGCTGCTCCAATACACTATATATATATATATATATATATATATATATATGTATGTATATGTGTGTGTATATGTGTGTATGTGTGTATGTATGTATGTGTGTATATGTGCATGTGTATGTGTGTGTATGTATGGGTATATGTATATATGTATATGGATGTATATGTATATATATATATATATATATATGTATGTATATGTATATGTGTGTGTATGTATAAGTATGTATGTATGTATGAATATATGCATATGTATATGTATACGTGTATGTATGTGAAAAGTGTGTATATATAATATAGATGAATATGTGTATGTGTGGATATGTGAATATATATTTTTATATATATATATATATATATATATATATATATATGTGTGTGTGTATATATATATATATGTATATGTATGTATATGTATGTATATATATATATATATATATATATATATATATATATATATATGTATGTGTGTATGTATGTGCATGTGTATGCACACGTATGTCTCGGTGTGTGTGTGAGTACATGCCTAAGTGTATGTACCTACTTGTATAGTTTTTTTGTGTGTATTGGTATGTGTTTTAAACATAGAAATATTTGGTCCTTGCTAAATAAGACAATCTTTATATCACCTTCATATATTTATATTTAATTTCTAACCTGGAGTCTATACTAATTTTCTCAATTACAAAGCGGCCCTTTAAGTAAACACAATTTTTTTTTTTTTTTCCTTCGTCCCATCTCTCTCCCCCACCTCTTCTCTTTCTTTTTCCCCCCGACTTCCTATCCTAACTTCTAATTGTCTGTGATGTATGTATGTCACCATGAAATGTATCTTTATGCATTAGACATCCGTCGACTTTCTTTCTCTTTTTAAATTCCCCCACCCCACCCAATTCTCTCTGTTAAGGTTTCATGTCCCCCCTCCTCATACTTACTCTTTCTCTAAATTCGTTTTTGATTTCCGGAGTTGTTTTTTCTGTTTTCATTTTGAATTTGTAGGTCTGATGATTTTGATCGTATTTACGATTCCAATGGAATAAATTATGACCATGGAATATTAGTGTTTAAGCCTTTTTATTATATCCTTACTCTGTCCTAGACATTGAGTTCTACCTGGATCCTTCCTCTTGAAAAAATTTTTTTCTGAAAATATACATGTATGGGAATTTTTTAGATATATTTTCATATGTATGTATATTTTCCACTAATATTATCTATATATATATATATATATATATATATATATATATATATATATATAGATAGATAGATTTTATATGAGTATTTTATAATTATTTACATTAAGGCTAATGTCCACATCTTTGTGATTATAATCATGATGTTTATGATATTGTGGTCTCCGGATTTATGTTGTATGTTGATCGAGGTAACCTTAAAGGAATTTCAAACTGAATTCTTTATTTATCTAATATATAAAAATATGCGAAAATTTATGTGATGAATAAAAGATTTGTTTTTATTGTAGATGTGAGCAGTTTTAGAATATGATTTTCTTTTTCTTTGAGACTTTTCATCTTTTCGTTTAATGGAAGCTATTTTTGACATATCTTGTGCCTTGTGACTGTTATCATGTCGAATTTATAAATTATTTATTTCCGTGGTTGACATTGGGGTAAGTGAAACTGGACAGAAATGAGGAAATTTAACTAAATTTAAGTTAAATTAATTGCAGTTTATCTCCCTTTCTGACATAAGTGTCTTTTTTTTTTTTTTTTTTTTTTTTTTTTTTAGAATTTTCAATTTCTAAACTCGGTTTGTTTTCTTCAGATTATTTTGACATAACAATTCTTGTGTTGCATTTGATGGAATATAAAAAAAAACAAACTAGATTTACATTTAAAATCTCAGTATTATAGAGTTCAGCTTGGTACTGGCAGTCTATGGTGTCTGATTAAATAGCCTATCAGATACCCCATCTTCACACATATTTTTAAGTTATTTTTGGGAGATAAAAGATTGCATAAAATATGATAAATTCTTAAAAGATAAAACTCCAAAGTTTCATTAAGGGAATTAAATTTGTCTTTATAGCTTCTGATATTCTGTCAAATGATAATTACAATTTAAAAAAAAATAAAGAATGAATTATTTTTCAGAAAAGAATATTTTGTGTCAAATTCTATAATGTTTTTTCTCTTTGCAGATTGTCAATTACAAAGAAGCACGGACAGTTGAAGAAATCTGTGAGAATTCCATGAAATTGATCACTCTCATAGACTTGGCAGGGCACCAGAAATACCTGAAAACCACTATCTTTGGTCTGACCGGTTATTGTCCTGATTGTGCTATGCTTGTAGTCAGTGCAAACACTGGAATGGGTAGGTCAGAACAAATCTCTACTTTTATTTACCATTTTCTTTCAGGATATAGACGATCATGGCTCTCAACAACTTCCTGTTAAGTAGGTTACTCAATGTTTTCCCTGCTCATTTCACCTTTAGTATGTTTTGTGAATTTTAAATTCCCCAGACCTTACTTCATCATGTGTCCTAGACATATCAGATCTTTCGTTGTACTTCCTGTTTCCCTTAAGGCTTCTTTACACTTCCTGTTTCCCTTAAGGCTTCCTTACACTTCCTGTTTCTCTTAAGTTTTTTTGTACTTCCTGTTTCTCTTAAGGCTTCTTTATACTTCCTGTTTTCCTTAAGTTTTTTTATACTTCCTGTTTCCCTTAAGTTCTTTTTGTACTTCCTGTTTCCCTTAAGTTCTTTTTGTACTTCCTGTTTCCCTTAGGTTTTGTTTGTACTTCCTGTTTCCCTTAAGGCTTCCTTGTACTTCCTGTTTCCCTTAAGGCTTCCTTGTACTTCCTGTTTCCCTTAAGTTTTTTATATTTCCTGTTTCCCATAAGGCTTATTTGTACTTCCAGTTTCCCTTAATTTTTTTTGTACTTCCTGTTTCCCTTAAGGCTTCTTTATACTTCCTGTTTCCCTTAAGGCTTCTTTATACTTCCTGTTTCCCTGAAGATTTTTTATACTTCCAGTTTCCCTTAAGTTTTTTTTTGTACTTCCTGTTTCCCTTAAGTTTTTTGTACTTCCTGTTTCCCTTAAGGCTCCTTTGTACTTCCTGTTTCCCTTATGTTTTTTTGTAGTTTCTGTTTCCTTTAAGTGTTTTTTTTTGTACTTCCTGTTTCCCTTAAGGTTTCTTGTACTTCCTGTTTCCCTAAAGTTTTTTTTGTACTTCCTGTTTCTCTTAAGGTTTCTTTGTACTTCTTGTTTCCCTTATGTTTTTTGTACTTCCTGTTTGCCTTAAGGCTTCCTTACTACTCACATGTTTTGTCTATGATATTCTCATTGTATATTGATAGAACCACAACTCTCTGCAGTAACCAATGAACTTATATTTTTCAATGTCAATTTTTACTTATTTTTACTTATACATGAATCCTGTATTCCATGGGAGGGTTGTCACAGCACCACATGTATTGCAGCTATGGTAACAATATGTGTATCTAGGGCAAGGTAGCCTGACAGAGCCCATCCATCTTCAGTTTTGAATAAAAATTTGTCCTTTGTGAGTACTTACCCCAGTCTGCAATGCTATTACACTGTTAGTCAGTTGGAAAAGAGATTCATACCATCATGCTATTAGTACAAAATAAATAAAAACTTTGACTTGAGTTTGAACTTGGCTCCCTTATATCTTTTTCTGTAATGATAACCATTACAGTAAATGCATACCCAATATTTTATATGACAATTCAGATAAACATCTTGAGCTACTTGCTGCATGTGTCTAACAATGAAAGCAGTTAAAAAAACCACCTGTATTATTTTTGTATATTAGATAATCAGCCTTTTCTAAAAATCTGCATCTTTTTGCTATAGCAAAAAATATTTTAGGTACTTTATTGTATTGTATAGTTAGCAAACTCATTATATAATGATTTCATTCTCTGCTGAGTGCTCTATTTTGTGGCCTTGTGCCAGATTTTTACAAAATAAAGTATTAGAAAGTCTGACAGGAAAAAGTGGAAGAAAGGCTATTTATTTTTCAGGCAGCCAGAAGGGAGAATATGAAAGTAGCAGAAATAGAAAAAAACTTCAAGAAGGTGTCAGCTTGTAATCCACATGCCATCTATGATTAGACTCATTTTCTGTTTTAAAAATAAGGGATCTCCCTCTTAGCCAACACCACATATTCTTTCAATACTTTGTATATCTTATTTTGTGTCTACAGTTTCACATAATTTGTTTTTCATCCCGAGCCTTTTTCCTTTGCAGTGTTCGTATCTTCAGATGAATGTACCAAGATTAAGCTATGACTACTTGAATGACTTCAATCCTTATTAATTCACCTACGATTTTAATCTTGTGCTAGTCATAGCTGAACTTAAGTAAATACTTATGTAAGCCTGTTCAGAATACCATCAAGTTAATCATTCAAATATAGCAACATAGATTTTATTCTTTGATCTCTCTAAATGCCTGATAGGCTACCATCTGTTTTTACTTTTCTAAACTAGCAGCATTAGTTGTTATATTTGAGAAATTAAAAATAATATTTCAGCTGTAATTATTCTATCAATTTATTTTGCCTATTATTGGAATTTGCTGGTTTACTATTACTACTACTACACGCACACACACAAATATATATATTCATTATTTAATTATTAAACTTGTCCATTGTTTTTAACATGAGGATCTAATATTTGAGTTCTTAGAACTGAACAGTAACATTACATACACGTACAATTTGATTCAAGTGGTGAAGGCTCATGCAGAAGCAACCATACTTTTCAAAGGAACTGAATACAGAGAACAAGATATCCAAACTGCCATCCTCATATATATATATATATATATATATATATATTATATACAACTAGCTTAAAACTATCAGATCACTTTGGTAATATAACACATGCAAAAAAAAAAAAAAATTCTACATCCAAAAAGTCCAACTTAATATTATTTCTTGTTGAAAAAGGACACAGACATGTCAAAAAATTCCAATTTTTATCATTTTTACTCATCATGCTTCTTTCTTGGTCAAAAAGCCAATTAATATACAATAAATATTATTAGTCTTACTATTTTTGTTACTTTTTATCTTAACTTTCTTTCATTGGTTTATTATATCTATATATAAGAAGCATACATGTACAAACTTTAATTAATATCATATATATATTAGGGTGTGCAGCTTATATTTTATATCATAACATTAAATTACTATCAATTCCTTGAATAAGAATATCCTTATATTTAAGTAGATGTCAAATGGAAGATACAAGCTGAATACTTTCAACAATTTCAAATTGTCATCTTTAGAGCACAATTTTTTTTCCATACATAGGCAAACACTAAGATGCAATATGTTTAGACCAAAAGATTTTTTTTTAATTCATGTTATTTGTTGACAGTTAAGTACATGTTTTAGAGTGTGTGATGCTGTGACACTAAAGTTCTTGTTCAAATTGATCAAGTGAGAATTTTGAAAATCAACAAAATATTTTTGTTATATTTGTTTATCACTTAAAGTGAAATGGACTTCAGTATAATCCAATTGGTAGAGTAAAAATGTCTTAGTAGTTTTCCACAGAATTTAAAATTCTGCTGCAGATCTAATGTTGTAAATATACTAGGGTGTGCATATGTGTATATATATATATATATATATATATATATATATATATATATATATATAATAAATCAAGAAAACCTTAAAAATCCATTTCAGTTATAATTTATTTTATGAATATTTTTATATTCCTCTCTTCAGACGAAAAGTTTATTTTAGAAACACACACACACACACACACACACATATATATGTGTGTGTGAGAGAGAGAATAGAGTGAATTAAAATTTAGATATAATTTCTTATTTGATCTTATCTATGATGTCTCTAGTCATATAAATAGCTGGTTTTAAATAAATTGTGATACCCTTCTTCATAAGAAGAAAGGATAAGAGATGGAGCAAAAGGTTACTTGCAAATGCAGTGTGAAAGACCAGACATAAGATGGACAGATGAATTAGAGTTTACTGGTAAGACATAGTAGAGAATAGAGTATAATCACAGTTGTCAAGAAATGATTTAGCAAAAAGATCTCACATCCTCAACTAGAATAACAATAGATTCTGCTGCTGGTGGTCATAATGATTCTTTAACTTCTTTTTCAGTTTTGTATAGCACTTCCCTGATTTATTCATATTGGATGATGATAACATTGTGACTGAATGAAAACTTGTATAATTTTTTTGCAGCTGGTACAACTAAAGAACATTTGGGTTTTGCCCGAGCACTTGACGTCCCTGTGTTTGTTGTGGTCAGTAAAATTGACATGTGCCCAGAATCTCTTATGGAAAAGACCATCAAGCAATTGGAAAAGATTCTCAAGTCTCCAGGTTGCAACAAAGTACCGTTCCGTGTGATGAATGAGGATGATGCTATAACTGCTGCAACCAATTTTGATTCGCAAAGGTATCTAATGTTGTTTTTTTTTCAATCTGTATCACTCCATGCAAGGCAGTAAAGCCACTAAGACACAAAGAGGATGTGGAAGAATTAAGAACAGAAACTTTAATAATGAACAAGAAGAGGAAAGAGTAATCGGGAGGACAGTAGATATAGTAGTTGACATTGCATTTAAATTTTTGCAGATTAAAGTTGGTTGGAAAGTAGGGAGCCAGAGGGGAGTTCCACAAGTGAGAAGTGCAAAAAAATAAACTTAGCATATAATTACATCTAGCCATCTCAACTGTAAATTGATGAGATCTTGACGCCAGTCTAGTGCTGAGCTTAAATTCAAAAGTCTAGGTACCATAGCAAAGAGCTCATCCTAAAAGACACAGAGAGGCAATCTTATGGTGGTGGGAAAGCGACTGAAGCCATGCCACCAGATCAGGACCAATAATATTGCTGATTTTTCTTTAGATCTTATCCAGGAGCTCAAGGTAAATAGCAGGGGCACCAGACTATATGTAGCAGCAATATTCTAATCATGGATGAATGGTAGATTTATAGATATGTAAGATAGATTCTGAAGAGAAAAATTGTCTTGCATGACACAGTGAACCAACTTTCTTAGCAGCTGACTTAGCAATGGATTCAATATAGTTTTTCCACTTCATGTCAGCTTAGAACGTTAGCCTGAGAAGGTGCAACGAATCACTTTCCTTGAGGTTACCATCAGCCATGCTGTTGGAAGGCAGAGAGGAGTCTTTCAGATTAATAATGGAGAGAAGTTTAGTTTTGGATGCGTTAAAATTTAGTTTTGAAGGGATTACTTTTCTTAGCTAAATCTGTCCTTGGCCCTCTCCTGCCTGTTCAGCTGCTATAGCCCACAGGAAACACTTTGGGCTATACCAGAGAAACAGATCCAATTGTAACATATATCTCTTTGTCATCGCTTGTGATGTATGTAAGCATGTCCTCAAAGAAGCAAAGTCACTATTTGTTGATAGAATCAGACACCTTATAGCCTCTCACAAGTTGAGTTTTAGAGTTACCTGCAGCTTTGCAAAAGTTTACTAAACAAATCCCCAGTCCCTCCTCTCTTCAATCAATTTGATGTGTTGTTATCTACTGCTGATAAAGCAGAGTGCTTTGCTTGGAAATTCTCTTCCAAATCCACACTCATCTGGAGTATACGTATTTCCTCCTTGGACAGAGTCTCTATTAAGTGATATGCACATAACTGCGTCTATGGTTTCTGCTATCATTTCTAAACTAGATCCACACAAGGCTTTTATGGATTCAATGATATCTTTGCAATGGTTCTAAAGAAATGTGCTCCTGAACTCTTGTTCTCCCCAAGCTACAATAAATGGCTCACTACTTCTTGCTTTCTAGCTTGTTGTGAACCCACCTCTGTAGTTCCTGTCTTTAACCATCTAACCCCCTTTATTACCCTCTTAGTCTCTTTTTGGCAAAGTACTAGAAGCTCTAGTCAACTCCAAATTGGTTAGCAACCTCCTTTTGGATAAACAGTATGTCTTCTGCTTTGCCAGGTCTACTGCTGATGTGTTAACAGCCATCATTGAAGTTGGCTATCAAGCTTTAGATAAGAATGGTGAAACTCTGACTGTGGCCCTAGATATCTCAAAGTTGTTTGACAGGGGTTAGTATAATGACCTTCTCAACAAGCTGAAGGGCTACAGTGTCTCTGAATGAATATTTGACCTAATTCAGTTGTCCCTAACAAATGGTGTAATGAATGTCATGTTGAATGGACATGCTTCTAGTTCATTTTATATTAATGCAGAGGGCTCCAGAAACTCTATCCTTGGAACTATACTGTTTCTGTATGTTATATCATCAGTTCCCAACTAAGTATCTATTCAGATGACACAACTATTTACTCTTGTTTTAGTAGCAAGTCTGACAGGTCAAACAAAGTAAAACCTGCCACTGCTCTCAAAAAAGACCTCCTCCAATCAGTGGTTAACTGGGGCAAGGAATGACTTGTAAATTTTAACATCTCCAAAACAAAAACTTAATCACAATAGAGAACCTTTTCTGTTTGCCATCAACATAGCTGATGTTAAACTCCATGACAGGCAACACCTTGCACCTTCTTGGGCTCAAATTTTCCACTGGCATGAATTGGAGTGATTATATTGAATCTATTGCTACATCTGCTGATAGGACAGATGATTCACTGTGTTGTATCAGACAATTTTTCTCAGCAGAATCCTTCCTGCACATTTATAAATCTACCATTTGTCTGTGCATTGGATACTTCTGTCATAACTCATCTCTTGCTCCTTTTATGTATCTTGAGATTCTTGACAAATTTCAAAGAAGGGTCTGTGATGTAATTGATCCTGATCTAGCATCTCGACTTCAGTCTCTTCTCACTTACATGACATGGCTGCCCCGTCTTTTCTACAAATATTTTCATGGGAAAGGTTCTGATGAGCTGTTCTTCCCACTGCCTTGACTGCATGAATTTAAACGTGCTGCTAGATTGGCAATTAGATCCCACAATTTTACTGTTGAACCAGCTAGATGCAACTGTAAGTTCTATTCTAATAGTTTCTTTTCTTCCCCGGGGAACTCCTTTCCGATTTCTTGCTTCCCTGCCACTTACAATCTTCAAAAATTTAAATGCAACGTCAATTGCCATCTGTCTTTCTGAATCTTGTTTGTTTATTATCCTCCTTCTCACTTTTCATTTTTTTTTCCTCCCTTTAACCTGTTGCTTCTTAGTGACATTATTGCCTTGCTTAGGGGGAAATAATTAAAAAAAAAAAAAAAAAAAAGTACCCACATTTATTAATCTTAGCCTAGTCTGGCACAAGGCAATAGTTATGGCGCAACTATTGAGAATTGAACTTTCTACTCTAGCATAATGGATTGCAAAAGAAAATTGCTAACCACTGCACTATGGCAATTACCTTGTTTCAGTTTTTATAATGTGATGTCCAGTGAGGATTAAACACACTAAGTTTCTCTCTATATTACATTTCCCTTGGGATTTAATATAGTAATTCACCCCCAAGTGAGGAGATAAAAGCCAATGGGGTGGGGGGGAGAGGACAATAAAATAACAGGAATCAAGGAGACAGATGATGATGACGATTGACATTGCATTTGAACTTTTAAAGATCATAATTGGCAGAAAATCAGTTTCACAAATAGGAATAATGAGAGAAGAAACTATCAGCATAGAACTTACAGTTTCAGTTGTCAATTTCAACAGTGAGATTATTAGATCTTTGCTTCCAATCTAGTACTGCGATTAAATTTGTGAAGTTGAATTGCCAAAGAATAAAGCTCATCGGAACAATTACTATGAGAATATTCATAGAAAAAGCACAGAGAAACTACTTTATGGCAGTGGAAAAGTAACTGAAGTGAGGTACCAAATCAAGACCAATAACATTGCAGTGTAGACTCGTCCTTTTCCTACTTATCACCCTTAGTAACAGAACAGTCTATATCTTACGCCTCACGATATGGAAAAACTTTGACCAATAAAAACCATATTAGGCGAATCAACAAATCTCATTGGTTAACGACACAATAATCTGAAAGTTTCACGTGCAAAAACAAAATTGTTTAAAACTTCTTTGAGCCGATTTTGGACTTTCAAAACATATAAAAGAATCTGGCGCCGACTGACCAAAACAGTCAGAGGCGAACATCCACAGAGAAATTGCCAACATACTCCACGTCCTCGAAAATCACATCTTTACCGTGCAAAAAGTACATCAACGCTGACTCACTTGCTATTTAAACTCGACCAATTCTGTGAAACATAGAATATGAAAACCTAAAAACAACTTTGCTTATCCAAAGTGAATTATATTCACTACATATTAAGTAAAAATCAACATTCGAACGATTCAGAAATATTAGTCAAAGGTAGATCACTCCATAAGAACTCCTTCCAAAAAACACTTAATATCGAGATTTTTAATATTACGACAAATCAAGAAAGACTGTAAATGAACATACGAATACTAAGAGAGACATACCAAAACCTAAAATATCACACACACTTTGCCATAGTAACATAGACCAAAATATCCTGTATATATATTGTTTTGAATTGTATATAAATGTTTTATTGGTTTCTAAATTGAATATGTCTTGTTTTTGATTGTATTTAAAATTCGTTTATTTATTTGTTTGTGGATGCAGAAAGTCATGCAACCTACACAAATTCCTTCTGATTCTCTCAGTTACAATTAATTAATTCTGCACATCCCCAACAGCAGTGTCTTGTTTGGATCATGTCAAGAATATCTAGATATATAGAGCAGAAGTAGCAGACGAGATGTGGCAGCAATATTCAATGTATGGAGGAATGGAAAAGTTATAAATTTATAAGATAGCGTCTGGCAAGAAAAACTGCATGACATTGTAAACTGATTTGGTTAGCAGCAGTTCTATTGGGAATTAATACTCTATGAGCTGTAAGCTGTATTAGATTTCTCTTGGCATGTAATATATCAAAGAAACATGGTTTAGAATTATTCTGTTTTTCTTCTTAACTAATAATTAATAATGGTTCATCTCAAGAATTCAAATTGTATGACAGATAACAGTACAAGAGAATTTTGCATATCTTCACCTGTTCCTCTCTGATATTGTTTTCTGTAGTGATATGAATTTTTTTTTTTTTTTCTTAGCATCACACCTATCTTCTCAATATCCAATGTCACTGGAAAGAATTTAGATTTGCTGAAGAAGTTTCTGAATGTAGTTCCTCCATTAAGGAACTTGAAGGACAGAGAGAAATACATTCAGGATTTGACAGAATTTCAGGTGAGGACATTTTCTTAGTTTTCCATCTCACAACATTTTTCTTTTGAAAAATGGTCATTACCGATTTTTGACTGCTTTTTCGTCAGTGTGTTTCTTATTCCAAATTTGTGATAAAAAGCATCAAGAAGGTGGGAGAAAACGAGTCAAAAAATGAATAATGTAAAAACTTTATTTGGAGATTCAGAATTCAAATCAGTTTGTGCCATTTTTAGCATCACAAAAGGTACACAACAAGAAACAAACAGACTTTTTGGTTTTGTTCATAATTTCAAGAACAGAAACTTTTACAGACTGAATTCAGTCTTTGTAAATGGTTTTTTAGAGAAATACATTGCAAATAATGTTAGTATAGAAATTAAATGTAAATTCTCTCTCTGTATATATATTTGAACATAGAAATATTTGGTCCTTTTTGAAATGAGACAATCGTTATATTCATCTTCATATATTTATATTTGATTTAATTTTTCCCAATTCGGCTGCCCCTTTATGTAAACACATTTTTATTTTCCTTAGTCCCATCCCTTTCCCCCTTTTTTTTTTTTTTTTCCCTTCCTATCCGAATTGTCTGTGGTGTGTATATGTCACTCCACTTGTATCTTTATGTATTAGACATCCGTCGACTTTTCTTTCTCTCCTCTTTTAAAATCCACCCCCCCACATCTCCAAAATTCTCTCTGTCCTCATCCTCATATTTACACTTTCTCTAAATTCTGTTTTGATTTCCGGAGTTGTTTTTTCTGTTTCATTTTGAATTTGTAGGTCTGATGATTTGGATCGTATTTACGATTCAATGGAATAAATTATGACCATGGAATATTAGTGTTTAAGCCTTTTTTATATATATATATATATATATATATATATATATATATATATATATATGTTCTCAGTGGTTCTCAATCCCTTTTTTACCCAATTCACCCTTTTCACTATATGTCACGATGTCATTCTCCGGAAAAAGATTGTCCAAATCAAAGCGTATTCAAATAATATGCATATGTTATTGAAAATCTTACTACATTTACATGGGATTATTTTACGCTCATGACTTCAAATTATGTAAATAAAAAAACTAAAAAAGTAAAATACCTGCCCCCCCAGACACCTGAATTCCTGCCTTGGTGTGAATTCATCCCAGTTGAGAACCTACCTCTCTCTCTCTCTCTCTCTCTCTCTCTCTCTATATATATATATATATATATATATATATATATATATATATATATATAATGGCTGTTCATTTTTTACTACATTTTTCTGCTCAGGTAGCTGTTAAATCTCTGTTTGCAGACATCTGCTCAGGTATATAGTTTTGTCTGGAGACCTCATGTTTTTATTTAATAATATTTCTCCAATATTCATGTAATTTATATATATATATATATATATATATATATATATATATATATACATACACACATTAATGCCTTAAGATGCAAGTGTACTGACATACAAGATTTTGAGATATGAGCCGGAGTTTGAACAGTTTTTTGACTTGAGATATGAGCTGAATATTGAGATATGAGTGAGTTTCAGGTAAGCATCTGCTAGTTGGCACAGCGAGCACCAAATTTTTGGAGACTATTTCCACTCACATTACATGTGTTCACCTCACTCTGGAAGGATCTCTGTCATGTTGTGTCTTTTTTGCTGTTATTTTGCAAAATTCCTTTAGTGACACAATGGGGCTGAAGAAAGTAAGTGTAAAGAACAGTGATAAAAAACTGAAATGTATGATTTCACTTGAGGTAAAGTGGGAAATTATAAAAAAAAAACATGAGGAAGATTTATGAGTAATGGACTTAGTGAGAAACTATGACAATAAATAAAAAATTATAAAATTTAAAAAATTAAAAAATTTGTTACAATAATGGATAAAATGTAAACTTTTTAAAAAATTTAAAAATTAAGTAATAAATTTAATCTTTGGCATCGCAGACTAGTGGTTGCTGGGTTAGCTGTCGTTGTCTCTCTCTCTCCTCCGTCAGTTGGCCTATGACTTGTCTGAACTTCATGGTTTAGTACAGTTTATTTTTTTACAATTTGTTTTTTTTCTCTTTTATTTTATTGTTTGTAAACTACATTTCTTGTTTATTCACACATTTTTTCTTGTAAGAAACCCACAAATACAAAAACGGGGTGAGTTTTATAAAAAAAAAGGGTGATTTTTAGGGACTTGGAATGGATTAGAAATATTCCATTACTTTCAATGGGGAAAATTGATTTGGGATATGAATTTGTTGAGTTATGAGCTCAGTCTTGGAACAAATTAAACTCATATCTCAAGTCATTACTGTATAAAAATCTTCTTTATTTCTATCTTTGTTTTCCTCTCTGTAAAATGTTAAGTTTTCAGATATCTATATTGATCCAACAAATATTGTTTGAACCAAGAAACACAAACCAATTCTCTCATAAAGCAGAGATGATTTTTCCTTGTGTGAAGTTTGTTAACTGAAATGTCAGACTAATGCTATGGAAAAAAACAAACAACAAGGATAAGGAATGAAATCTGAACAAAAACACACAAAATCACAATTTGGCGTTATGATCAGTTGATCAACAATAATATATTTATTGGGGTACAGAATGAGGAACACATTACAAGAATAATGGAATGCAAGTTAAGTATAAGTCCATGGGAAATTCTCTTTACTCAATTTACAAAGATTTTTTAAAAGTTAGATGATAAAATTGGTGGGTTTTATAAAATATTACTAATAATTTAAGTAGAGAGAAAATAAATGAAACCATTTTGATAGGCAACTTCAGTGTTAACAGAGAAGAGAAGCAAATGATACAAAATGCCAGCTTGTCAAAAAGACACAAAATAACAATTATACAGACATTTTTCTAAAGGGAAGAATCTGTGAATGAACTTGGAAATTCCCATCTGGGTAAACAAAAAACTGAAACTGACTTCATGATTGTTGATAAAACCATTGAATCATCACAAACGTAATGTATGAAGTGATTAACTTGCAGATTTGAGTTTAAAATTGAGAGAATAAAAATTGATTCTCAGAAATAAAACATATACAAATAAAATGGAAGAATATATTCTGTTTAGGATTGGGTTTTCAGTTCCTTCTAAAGTCTTCTCATTCTCTTTCACTCCCAGTAGCTGCTTACATCTTAGTGGCATTATAGCCTTGCTTGGGGTGAATTGATTAAAAAAAAAACATTACTAAATTTCAGGTAGGAATCAACAAGAGATTGCTGAAATAACAAAAGATATGAATAGTAAATTAATAATTTTAATTAAGAAGAGAGAACAAAGGAAACAAATAGAAAGAACATTAACAAAGGGAGATAACTCTGCAATAGAAGTGCTGCAAAAGTGGGCAAGTATGATCTTATATACAAAGAAAGATATTTTGGTATTTATTTATTGTTTTATTAAGTAATACTGACATGGCATATCAACTTTCCCACTGCCTTGGCATAGCCTCCCACTGTCTTTTCTATAAATATTTTCATAGTAATTGTTCTGATGAACTTTCTTCCATAGTACCTAGACCATATGAATTGAAGCCCAGTACTATATTAGCGGCAAGGTCTTATCATTTTACAGTTGAATGGCTAGATGTAATTGTAAGTTCTATGCTAACAGTTTCTTTTCTTGCACTTCTCGCTTGAGCTTGTGGAACTCTCTTCCAGCCTCTTACTTTCCAGTCAAATTTGATCTTCAAAAATTTTAAAGTAATGTCAATTATTATTTTCTGTCTTCTTAATTCTTGTTCTTTTATTGCTCTCCTTAATAATGTTTCCCTTTTCTTTTATTCTTTCACACATCTTGCATCTTAGTGACTTTATTGCCTTGCTAGAGATGAAATGATTTTAAAAAAATTACATGTTGACTATTGTTCTTATCTTTGTTGTTATCAGATTTTACTTGTTGTGCCCTTCAGCCTTCATCAGGTGTAAATCTATTCAGATAACTGACAAGGAATTTTGAACTGAACCCTTTATTTAATCTAAGGGAGTAGATGGTTCTCATTTTACTGCCCATATTTTGGGACATTTTGTCTAGTTGTTTATTTAAAACTGCTCAGTTATTCCTTGCTCTGTTTTCCACTGAATCCAAGTACACACTGCTCAGCCCACAATTACTATGTCACCAAATTCACAAACCAATAAACCACTAGGCTATTGTCCTGATGGACAATTCTGTATGATGTACTTGGAGCCTTAAACCTAACCTACCTGCTGATGAATGTGGCTGCTGTTGCTTTTCATGCTTGACTACAGTCACTGAAGCTTTTCTCTTTTGTTACAGCTGCTGCTGCTGTTGAAGACCTGCTCTCATTTGTTTTTCTTTCCTTCTTTTATTAGTGGTTCCCATATTGTATTTATTTTTATGCTAGGTCTACTAAGGAAATCTTCATAGACTGCCATGTTTGCTGATTTTTTTGTCTAACTCTCCAGTGTTCTTCCTTATCCAATATTTTCACTTCATTCCATATAGGTTGGTGACTACCCTTTTCCCTTCATATATGATCAGCTATGCCTGATTTCATTGTTTCATTATGGCTTTTCAATATTACTCTAGCCTAACCTTTAGTGGGTGGCTAGTTTCATCTTTATATTCTTTGCCACAACTGCGAGGAGGAATACACACAGTTCTTAGTCATGTTCTCTCCCGTGTTAGTCATGTTTCAACAGAGATTTCTCTGTAGGGTGGAGCTGCTTCTGAATATTGTCCTGATGTTGTATGAATTGTAGATCTTCTGAATCTTTTTTGAAAAGCCTCTTGACGTAAGACAATTTTCTGGTCTTCCTCCTTGATCCTTCCATTTTCACCTGCAGATGCTAATGTTTGCAGGGTAGCTGTTCTTCTGAAGAGTATGTTTGGTGCTGATTATTTCTTCTTGGTATGTGTCTAGGCCACCACTTATGATTTTTACATGATGTTATAGGCATTGGATGATCCCTTTCTTTATATTGTATTGATGGTAGGAATTGAAGCTGACTTATTGTTCAGTCATGTTTGTCTTCTGACATACAAACACCTTAAAATTCTCTGTGTGAGTTATTAGTACATCTAGAAAAGGCCAGTTCCTTATCTGTGTTTGTGTATGTGTGTGCGCATGTGCTCGTGTGTGTATGAATGTGTTTTGTCAATCAATGTTTATAATTATTTGTTTACTTACCTTAAGTGTTTGTTGAGAAAAAAAAACCCTTAATGTTGTCAAAGATGTATCTGATGTTATTAAATTTATATTACAGGTGGATGAACTTTTTACTGTTCCTGGAGTTGGAACTGTGGTTGGAGGAAATCTGAAACGGTAAATGCTTTCACTGAGTTTTGGTATAAATATATATATACACAAACATACGCACATATCTATATATATGTAATTAATAAAACAGTTATTAAAACAGGGACAAACGAAAGGGTACCAATATAATCAATATGATAAACATTTATTAAATATAAATTATTAACCATATAACAGAAATGATCCATGGAAAGAAAGGTTTTAAGTTTGGAATTTTTGGACACTCATGTTTAATGGGTGTCAGTTATCAGTTATCTCCTGTTAATTTCCCTCTGAAAGTTCTCCACTGCCTTATTTGGATCCTGTCACTGGATCTAACCAACACCTTTATCCACTGTGCCATGTGTCCTTGAGGACATCTGTGTATGAATTTCTGGGTATTATAAACCTAATATCTTCAGCAACGATTTTTTACCAGTGCTCATATTCCAATTTTTGCTGTTTATTTCATGTTTTAACCAGAGCTCATATTGCAATTTTTGTTGTTATTATCATTTTTCTCTGGCACTCCTTATTACTGGTTCCAATATTGTATTCATATGAATATCCATTAAACATGGCACGTGGAACTAGAACAATCTACCCCAGTGAGTGAAATAAAGGATTCAGTTTGACATTCCAACCACCTGAAGAAGGCCAGAACGTACAATGGCCGAAACATTATAATAAATATCCAGGCGACAAAGATGAAGACAATAGTCTGAATAATGTACATAATACCTCATCCCAGAAATATAGACAGATACTGAAGGGCCGAAACGTTGTAATAAATATGTCGACAAAGATGAGGACAATAGTCTGAATAATATAAATAATGTACATAATACCTCATCTCAGAAATATAGACAGATACTGAAGGGCCGAAACGTTGTAATAAATATGTCGACAAAGATGAGGACAATAGTCTGAATAATGTAAATAATGTACATAATACCTCATCTCAGAAATATAGACAGATACAATTATTAAAATATGTGCATACAGTTGTTTAAAGGAGGAGTAGTTAACCCTAAGTAGGTTAACTAACAAGAAGGGAATCCCTTTATTTAAAGATAACTTGTAAATGCAAAAACATTTGTTAACATACATTTTTGAATTGACAAGCACCAGGGAAAATATCCTGGGGGTGAAATGGTCATCTGAATGGCGTAATAGTTTAATTTTTATGTAATTCATATATATATATATATATATATATATATGCACACATGTGCACACACACACAGACAGACACAAAAAAAACAGGGTGTGATAGGTAAATTTTTGCCATTTTATATTTATAATTTTGTGCATGGACGTTATTTGCTTTTGATTCTGTTGATTGCACAGTATAGTAGGGTTAGTTGGACACCCGTCTGTGCAAAAAAGAATGCCATGACGCAGTTCACTCCACCAGAAAGTTGGAAATAACATGCTGACTTTTTGGCATTTGTACCGTAAGCTCCAATACGAACATTTCAGAGTGTTTGGATGTCAAGCTGAGGACAGTGCAGAGTATTCGGAAAGAGTTGGATTATATATCCAGTCATCATCATGATCACTAATGATGGCAATGTTATGCCTCCATTCATCTTTGCACAAGGCCTTAGAATCAATATGGAGGTCTACATCAAGTGCCTTGTGGAGGTATTGCTGCCCTGGATCAAGATGGTGGCTGCTGGAATATGCTGTGTCTGGCAACAGGACTCTACACCATGCCACGCATTCAGGAGAACCCAGTCATGGCTATTAAGCAATTTCTGTGACCACATCACCCCTTACATCTGACCACCTAACTCCCCAGACTGCAATCCCCATGATTATTATATATGGGGTGCAATTGAGTGAGAGACAAACAAAACAACATGTAACACTAAAGATGAACTGAAGGCAAGCATTATGGCAACATTCACTAATTTAATTAAGGAGACTGTCCAGAAGAATTGCAGGGGATTCTGAAGTTGTCTGGAGGCCATGGTTAAAGCCAATGGTGATTTTATTGAATAAATTTACTCTTTAGTATTTCAAGATATTTTTGTGTAATTTTGATAATTATATCTGTTAAAATGAGATGTCAGTATTATTTTCATTTTTTTTTTTGCAATTTAGACGACAATTTATCCATTGCACCCTGTATATATATATATATATATATATATATATATATATATATAAGGTATATTAAGGCTGCAAGTATTTTTTAATCAAACTTTTGGTAATTCTTTACCTAGAGATTGGCATAGAGGAATAGTTAACCTAATGACCATTGTTAATGTAGTGAATTCTGTTCCCTCTGGAAATCAGTCTATTTCTATTTGGAGCCATCTTGTATTTCTTTAAAAAAAATATACCTTAAAATGGGATATTTTTCTATTTTTTTTTAAAAGTAAAAGATAAAATTTCAGTAACTACAATGTATTTGTTTTTATTTTGATTAAAAATAAGCACTTAACTATAAAAACTTAAACAACAGTATCATATTTTGTTTTTGTCGATAAAACCACCACCTACCTTAATTACTGCTTTAAAAATTCTTGGCATTCTTTCCAATAGTTTTTGAAAGAAAATACATGGCAGGCCTTTCCAATCATTCCTCAAGCACTGAAAAAAGCTCACTCTCACTCTTTGGGTATTCTTTTCTAACTTTCCTATCCAATTTATCTCATACTAATTCATTTGGAGAGAGGTCAGGAGATTGAGGTGGCCAAGTCATCATTTCCAAAATTTTCTTCAAATTTTCAAATTAAGCATAAACCAGATTGAATAGCATGTCTTTGGAAAATTGAATGATATTGTTATTTTCTCATGATTCCCTTGACCTGAATCAAATCTACAGCCCTCTCTCTCCCCCAAAACACCCCCACACCATAACATATCCACCACCATGCTTAAAATAAAAGTCTGTTATGGGTAAAAAAGCACAAGAAGATTGAGCAACTCCAGCTTAGATATGGCAGTAAGACTCCATTTTTGTTTTAATCTAACTCTTGTAAATGACTCTAATTGTTAGCATTTGCTGTATTTTATCTTGTCCAATTTCAGGGGCTCAATTCGCGAGGGTGATGACCTGATGTTGGGGCCAATGTTAGATGGAGACTTTCACAAAGCAACTGTTAAAACCGTGCACCGAAACCGTCTTCCCTGTCGGTTAATACAGGCAGGACAGTCTGCTACAGTGGCATTGCTTAATGTTGAGAGGGAATCTTTACGAAAGGTTGGTGGCAAAGTGGAATTTTTTTTTTTTTTCAAAAACATTGATATCACATATTAATATAGAATAATATAGATATAACAATACAGAAGTCACATTTAAACATAAAAATGTATATAAAAGCAAGTGCTATGGAAACAAATCCACAGGTATAAGTGATTGTTCATGATTTTACTGTAGAAATGCATTGAAATCAGGAAGAAAGGGATTGTCAAATGTCAGGAATTAATGTGAGAATTACTGTTAAAATATGGTTTTATATATATATATATATATAACCATAATAAGTAAATTATGTTATGACTTCTACAGTTAGAGGTGGTGTATGTATATATATATATATATATATATATATATATATATATATATATATATATATATATATATATCAGTGACATAATAATTCATACACCCATCAATTTTGAATGTTTTTATCCATTTCCTAGAGTCTAATGCCTGTATAATGCCAGTTGTTTTATGTTAATAAGCACAAAAAAAAAAAGGAATATAAAACTTAATTTTCAGGACAATAGGTTAAATACAACAAATTTGACAGGTGAATTATGCAAAATAGGAAAAGACAAAATTATTCGTAGAGTATCAAAAATAGAAAAAATTGACCAATTTTCAAAATATTAATCGTCAATAACATGGCTTCTCATCTTTATAACTTACTGCAATTGTTTTCTAAAGTTTTTGATGAGATTTGAACAATCCATGATGCTGCCAGAGATCAACATCACTGGTCATCGTCTGATTGCGACAATGGACTTTCAGTGTCCCACTGTTCCAGACTCTGCAGCTCCAGCCTGGGGTTGCAGAACCACCTCCAAGATGCAGAAATGATACTTCATCTTTAGATTCAAAGGGCAACTGATACATTACAATTAATTACATTGTAGAAATACTTAATATAAACAAAAGTCTTTTCAGTGTTGAAGAATGTAGATATTGTTTGGTATTTTTCTTTTTTAACTTTTGGAATTTTGTTTGACTATTGCTTATAATTTGATTTCTGTTTGCTAATCTTTATAAATTTCTGTTGTTCAATTTAGGGTATGGTGTTGGTCAGTCCACAGCCTTTGTTATTTGCATGTATAGAATTTGAAGCAGATATCTATGTCCTGTTCCATGCTAAACAAATCACAACTGGATTCCAGACAACAATACATGTTGGGAATGTTCGGCAGACTGTGAAAATTATTAAAATGGACAAAGTAAGTAGAATTCATGAAAGAGAGATTGCTGCCTTATTAACGTTTGCATTATAGAAGTGTTAAATGACTTTCAAATTGACATGTTTCGAATTTTAGAAAAATTGTTTTCTTCTCTTTTTTGCGTGGAAATGTTTGTGGTGAAAAAGAAATAAAAGATGAATAGTTTTTGCATAAAATAAGCATCTCAAAGTAAAGGTATCATTGTTTTATGTGGTAATTAGTAACCTTTTTTTTCATTTTTCAATGTTGCTGTGATTTTCTTTTCAGCTTTTGTAAGAAACAAAATACAAATATTGGATCATTATTACTGGGGCGAGCATGAACTCACACTTATGATTAAGTTGTAAATTGCAATGGATATTACTTTATTTTTCAATTGCAACCATTTTAACCATATTGCCTAACAAAAATCTTGTTATGATATGCCATTTTTGCTGTGTTATAATAACATATGCACAATTGGATCTTTCTTATTATATTTTTTTTTCTTTTGTACATATACGCAGTTCTTTAACAGCGTCAATTTCCTAATTTTATGCTTTCGTTTTGCAGGAAGCCATAAAGACCAATGAAAAAGCTCTGGTGACATTCCACCTGATCAAACAACCTGAGTACATTCGTGTTGGAGCTCGACTGCTTTTCCGTGAGGGCCGAACCAAGGGAATGGGGGAAGTGGTTCATGTCTATCCCTACTTGGATAAACCCCCTCATAGATAA